GAGGCTCAGGACGCAAGGCGGGCGCTTTCTCTTTCCAGTGTCTCAAAAGTGATCTTGCCCGCAAGATCCCTCCCGATCCCACCGTCACCTTGGGGGTTTAGGTAGTCAAAGATCTACATCTGAACGCCAACTAGATGGCTGGTCCACAACACTGTCCTGAAAGCTAATTGTTACGTGGGAGGCACTTTTTGCAGGTGCAGCCAGGGCTGGCTCCAGCTTATTTTGCACCCTAGGCGAGGATCCCTTCTGCCCCCCCCCGTGCGCCCACCATTTTTCAAAAATAAATGCATTTTAGGAAGAATGAAAAACACAAATAATCAAGAAACTCCCAGAATACGGGGCCGGGTGCAGTTCGGTGCCCCTAAGGGCCGTCCCGCTCTAGGCGATCGCCTAGTGAGTGAGCCGGCCCTGGGTGCAGCTTCTCAGGGATGAGAAGAGTTTAACTGGGGAAATCCCTCCCTTGGCACAGCGATTAGCATTTTGTAAAATTTAATTGTTCTCTAATCTTGCAGTCCAGTTTTATTGCACTGTTTGTCCTATCCTATTTGGCCTAGATTGCACTGTTTTCAACATCTGTAATACATTTTAAATCTCAATGAGTAGGCCCACTAGGAATAAATTAAAGTGTCTTTGTTTGCTGTTTTTCTCAATGTCTTCCAAATTTTGAGGGGGGGGGTTGTGGGGGGGATTCCCTTCAGCATCCACACAACGTCATCCTCTGATTGTACACTTTTCGAGCTTTCTTGATTCTCAGGATATTTTGTCAAACCAGATTTACTATGATCTTTCTTTGTTGAAAGAACGGGTCCAAGTGCATTCGGGAGCCCTCAAGGGAATCAAATAATTTTGAAGGTTCCACCCACATTGCCACCATTTCCCCTGCTGTGCCACCAGGTGGCTTTTAGGGACAAAAACATTCCGGTGAGTAGTCCTGTTGGTCCGAAGCAGCAGAACAAAGTTTGAGTCCAGTGGCTCCTTTAAGACCAACAGAGTTTTATTCAAAGTATAAGCTTTCGTGTGCATGCATACGAAAGCTTACACCTGGGACAAAAACAGTAATTGCTATATTGTTAAAACAATCTACTAGTTCCTCTGAATACCCTTCTTTCATTTTTTTAAAAAAGTCTCTAGCTTCTTTGTTGTAATTATGAGGAAAACCTTTCCCTTTATATCTCCACAATGAAAACGGGGAGGGGGGAAATGAAAAGTTGAGAATTCAGAGGAACTAGCAGATCATGGCAATAGATTGTTACATTTTTGTACTATAGCGCAGTAACTATTACCATTTTTTTTTAAAGCCCTCAAAAGTACTTTGGTGGCATGGGAGGTGCGAAGTGGAGGAAAAATGGCTGCTGACGGATGGAAGTTTGCCACATGGATGCTCTGTTGGCAGTACACGTGCCTCTGCATTCACAGTAGTGATGACAGGGAAATGGCGAATCCTTGCCTTGCAGATGCAAACTTCAAGCCAGAGAGGTGTAATGGTTAGGTATGTGCAGGGGGAGATAGGAAGGAGAAGAAGAAGAGAGAAGAGAAGAGATTGGATTTATACCCTGCCCTTCACTACCCAAAGGTGTCTCAGAGCGGCTTATAAACATCCCTTCCCTTCCCCTCCCCACAACAGACACCCTGTGAGGTAGGTGGGGCTGAGAGAGCTCTGACAGAAACTGCTCTTTTTCAAGAACAGCTCTTATCAGAACTATAGCTTGCCCAAGGTCATCCAGCCAGGTGCAAGTGGAGACGTGGGGAATCAAACCCGGTTCTCCCAGATTAGAGTCCGTGCACTTAACCACTACACCAAACTAGTTGGTGTGTGACCTTGATAAGTCAGTCACTTTCAGTCTAATCTGCCTCTTGGGGTATTGTGAGGATAAAATGGGGGCCTGGCAGAACTGTAGAATTAAAAGAAATGTATAGAAAAATACAGACTTTAGCAGTTCCAGCCTTTCAGAACAGGTAAAGGTAAAGGTTCCCTTGCTCGAAAGCCAGTCGAGTCCGACTCTAGGGTTGCGGTGCTCATCTCCGTTTCAAAGCCGAAGAGCCAGCGCTGTCCGAAGACGTTTCCGTTTATCCTATTTATCTACTTGCAATTTCTTGCTTTCGAACTGCTAGGTTGGCAGGAGCTGGAACTAGAGACGGGAGCTCACTCCGTCATGCGGCACCCGGGTCTCGAACTGCTGAACTACCGACCTTCCACAGCCTGCAGTTCAGCGTCTTAACCACTTGAGCCACCACAGCTCCCTTTCAGGACAAGTAACTGAGTCCAAATCCCCACTGGGTGATCTGGGAGAGATGCCAAGTAGACTTGCTGGTGTTGGGAAACACCTGTTAATGATGTCTCAGGGGGAGAACTGGAAAAGACCCCAGACCGTGGTACTGGGTCAGATAGACCAATAGACCGATCCAGTATAAGACGGACACCATGGGACAGATCCTGCAGCTGATTTGTATTTACAGCCTATCCATATATTTCAATTCAGCCCTTCCTCGTGGAGTTCAGAGTGGCACAAGTGATTCTCCCCTCCCCTTTTGTCCTTAAAACAACTTAAAGTACATCAGGCTGAAAGAGGGTCACAGACAGTGTTCCCACTAAGCTGAGTTAGTGTGAGCTAGCTCCCAGTTTTTTAGCCTCCAGCTCACACATTTCTGTCTTCACTCAGGAAGGATGGCTCCAGTGCAAACTAATGTATGTAGTAGCCAAACTGATTGCTCACCATTTTAATGCCGGTAGCTCACAGAGTAGAATTTTTGCTCACGAGACTCCACAGCTTAGAGGGAGCATTGGTCACAGACCCGTTTCATGGCTGAGTGGGGATTTGAACCCATGTCCTATTCTGACACTTTAACCACTATATCACACTAGCACAGGGTCCCAGGTCTGACACTTGACAGTTTCTCCAGTTCAAGGATATCAGGCAGGAGGAATTGGAAAAAGCCTTTCTTTGACTGAGATGCTGGACAGCTACTGTCCATAAGAGGAGATCATTGTAAACCTGGTGGAACCATGAACTAATTCAGTAGAAGGCAAGTAATAGAGCCAGGGTGGCAGTGTTGGATTAGGATCAGGGAAACCCGTCTTAAAACCCCTGTTTGTCCTTTGGCTCACTGGGTATCCTTGGGTTAGTTATTTCCTTTTTGACTAAGATATTTTACAGGGTTATTGAACAAAGTTTGAATCCTTTATGACCAACAAAGCTTAATTCTTGGTATAAGCTTTTGGTGCATGCTGAAGAAGTGTGGCTGCACGCAAAAGCTTACACCCAGAATTAAACTTTGTTGGTCTTAAAGGTGCCACTGGACTCAAACTTTGTTCTATTGCTTCAGACCAAACGGCCATCCCACTGGAGTCTATTTACAGGGTTATTTTAAGGGGGAAATAGAGGGGAGTTGTGCATACACCTCCCTGAAATTAGGGTCACCAGCTCTGGGTTGGGAAACACCTGGAGATTTTGGGGATGGAGCCTAGGAAAAGTGGGGTTTGGGGAGAGGAAGGACCTCAGCAGGATACAGTGTCATAGAATCCACCTCCAAAGCAGCCATTTTCTCCAGTAGGACTGATCTTGGTTGTCTGGAGATAAATTGTACTAGGAGGAGATCTCCAGGTGCTACCTGGAGGGTGGCAACCCTGCCCGAAATCCTTTGAAGGGCAAACAGGATAAAAATGCACCAAATAAATAAATCTTTATGTTTATACAATTTAAGACAGGTCTAAATCCCCGAGACTTTCCTATGTCATAAACCCAGGCTGTATTTCTCTTCCTCCCTGATTAGCTTCAAGCCAAGCATGATGCTCGCGCTCCCATCTGCCACATTACCGGAAATCCTGCTGATCACGAAATACTTTTATTAGCCGGGTGTCACCCAAAGAACCCTGGGAATTGTAGTTCTGCTACTTTGCTGGTGGGGGGGCGAAACCTTCCTCTCTCGGGTTGTACTGATCTTTTGTTCACTATTATCACACGCTCTCCACCGCCCCTCATGTTTTGTCATCGGTGGCCCAAAGTCGCTGCTGCCGCCAACGCCCGCGTAGTTTTTGTATACGGTGAAAAGCAGAATTAACCCGGAGTAATTGACACACTCACTAGTAATGCGGACGAGAGAATCTTCCAGGTACTTTCCCCCGCAACAATTAAAATTCTAGTTTGTCTGGTTTCCTGTACAGAATATAGTGAGCATTAAAGGTAGAGGGGGATTTGGCTCCATTTTACCATTCCTGAACCACCCGGCTTGCAAAAATGACAGACGGTGGTTATTAAGCAGTGTTGGACAAGGACAAAGATCTATATCTATATACGAGCAAGTATCGGAGGAGAGGGAAAACTTGGCTTTCTACCAACCTAAGAAAATGCAGTCCCCAAACACAAGCCCTGCAGAATTCAGTAAAACTTTCTGCCTAATAAGAGCATGTAGAAACCCTGCCTGAGTGTGGTTGGATGATCGTGGCAAATTATCCCGCATTAATTAATTAAACCAAAAGCTGAATGTTCAGCGGTAAACACTCGGCATTTACCCGGAACCGTGCACACCTTGCAAGGATGTTGTGACTGTACTGGAAGCCCTTTGAACGCTACGAAGCGTTCTATAAATGGGGAAGGGCTGTGGTTCAGTGGCAGAGAATCTGCTTGGCGTGCAGAAGATCCTGGGTTCAGTCCCCGGCATCTCCCGTTAAAAGGATCAGGCAGTGAAAGACCTCCCTCCGAAATCTTGATGGACCGATAGTCTGATTCAGGACAAGGCAGCTCCGTGTGTATTTGTTTTAAGCATTACCTAGATTTCTATTAAGAGGCCGGGTTTAAAAAAATCCCAAAGACTGCATATCATTCTTCCTTGCTGCTGCCGCTGCTTCACCCAACAAAATCTCCCCCTCCCCTCCCCAACGCAGAACTAACTGCGCTCCACCAAGACTTGGGGGCGTGGCTTCCTCCCCGCCCGGCTCCGCCCCCACCCGAGTGCTCTTGCTGGAGAGCGCCACGTCGGATGTGAACGAAGCAAGCGGGGCGGGCGGCAGGCGACAGAGAAGAATCCGAAGCTGGGAGTCCGGAACCGCGCTTGGAGGCTGAGGCTGGGCTGGGGCGCGCAAGGGCATCATCCGGCACGGTGCTGGTTCGAGAGGATCGCCTTGGGAGCGGAGGGGGGAAAGGTTTGCACGGGAAAATAAGCGATCTCGGTGTAAACCGGTCTGGGTCAAATTTGGGGTCTGCCAGGAAAAGAGACTCTCTGTCGGCCCTGGTCAGCCATGCGGCTCCCCGGACTCGTGGCGCTGATGCTGGCGTTGGGGGTCGGCAGCTGCCACGGCCTGTCTTTCCACTTACCGCCGCAGACCCGCAAATGCCTTAAAGAGGAGCTCCACCGGGACGTGATGGTTACCGGAGAATACGAAGTCTCGGAAGCCGCTGCTCCGGGTGTCAGGACAGATCTCCGGGTGAGCGGATCAGGCCTTTTCCGCCCCCCGCAGTATCTTCAGCTCTTTTCTGCTGCTTAACCCCCCCCCCCCCATGTTGGCTTGCACCTCCACTTATGAGCTAGTGTCTCCAGAGTTAGTTTCTGCCCCTCCTCTTTCCACAGGTCACCGACTCCTCTGGACACACTCTGTACTCCAAGGAGGATTCAAAAAAGGGAAAATTTGCCTTCACTACTGACAACTATGAAATCTATGAAATCTGCTTTGAGAGCCACGGACAGCCAGGTAAGAGATTTCCAGGGGCTCTGGACCGTTCCCTTCCTCAGTGTTCCTTCGATCACCTGCCTCTCCCTGTCCAGGCCTTGCCCCAGGCTTTGAGAAACTTGCCCAGGTGTCTGTTTGCAACCCTGGCCCCTAAGCCCAAGTGTGAGTGAGTTGGTTGGAGAGGGAGACACTCTGCGCATGCCTAGAGGCCCACATTGTGTTTTGTTTGACAGACCCTGGATCTGTAAAGGGGCTTTTCCCAGTCTGTACACCACTCATCTTCCCTTTGCCATCCCCTGGTATTGCCTGCAGAAATCAGAAGCCAGTTTTAATTGGGGTGGGTGGGGAGGAGTGTTGGATTTGGATCTCGCTGGAAGTCTTGCCCCCTATTTTCATGGATGGCTGTGGCCACTTAGTGATAAGAGGAAAGGCTTCCACATGCACTCTTTGTTATTGCTACAAAGTTCAAGAGGGTCTGGGGCCCGGTGTTCCCTCTAAGCTGAGTTAGTGTGAGCTAGCTCGCAGCTTTTTAGCCTCCGGCTCACACATTATTGTCCTAGCTCAGGAAGGAGGGCTCCAGAGCAAACTAATGTATGCAAGCAGCCAAATCACTCGCTCACAACTTTAGTGCCAGCAGCTGACAAAGTAGAATTTTTGCTCACAGGACTCCACAGCTTAGAGGGAGCACTGGTTCTGGGGTGCTTAAGCCATGTGCCTCAGTTACTTTTATTTTGTATAACCCTGTTTACAGCTACCTGTCTTTCTGTCCATTTTCCTCGTCCCGCTTCAAAGCTCATTCTCTTTTTCTCTGGTCTCCTAGGGAATTTCCGGATTCCAGACCAATTGGTCTCCCTTAATATAAAGCATGGTGTGGAGGCACGGAATTACGATGATGTAAGCAAAGCATCTAGTTGGTTAAGGTGTCCCCCCCCCCTTTTTTTCTTTTCTGTTTTTTGGCTGTCAAGTTGTAGCTGTTTTATTGTGACCCCTCCTGGGGTTTTAATGGTTGTAAGCCGCCCTGAGCCGCTTCGGCGGGAGGGTGGGAGAAAAAGCTAACAAACAAATAAATAAATAAATAAATTTCAAGGCAAGAGAGAAACAGAAGTGGTTTGCCATTGCCTATGTCTGCGTAGTGACTCTGGTCTTCCTTAGAGGTTTCCCATCCAAATAGGGCCGACCTTACTTAGCTTCTGAGATCTGATGAGATCAGGCTGGCCTGGGCTACCCAGGTCAGGGCTAAGTTTAGCTCTAACTATATCTGGGGAAATATATCCTTATTTATGAAAACACTTATACCCTGCCTTTCCTTATGGTTCAGTGCAGCTTACAATACTAGTGAAAAACCGAAATAAAATGACAAACTCCAGATCTTTCCTCTCCCTTAAAAGATGCCTGCCATTCAACCCCCCTGAAAAGCCCTGGCGAACAGGCAGGCCTTGCAGCACTTCCTGAAGATCTCCTCCTGGGAGGGGGCCCTTCTCACCTCTTCCGGGAGCCCCTTCCACAGGGCTGGAGCCACGATGGAAAAGCCACCCTAAGTGGCGGGATAGCCAGCCGATGGCTGCCTGACAATCACAGGGATGCACGGAAAGAGTCTGTCCGTCAGATATGGAGGTCGCAGGGGATAGGGCTCGTACCAGGCTTGGGGTGGGCAGTTTGTGCCAGTCTTCACTGCATTGGGAAGCAGGAGGGAAGAATGGAGTCATTCTAGCAGAAACATTTCTGGTGCTCCACCCCAGAAGCGGTTGCATCTTGGGATGAAGAGGTTGTGTATTAAAGTTCACCCACCCCCAAAGGGATTGCATTGCCTCCCCCCAGAAGTAACCTCTGTTGATCCGGCCCTAGTTCGGACTCCATGTGAGCCATTTGTATTCATCCAGTCCTCGATCCACCTTGCAGATCGCTAAGGCAGAGAAACTAAAGCCTTTAGAGGTGGACCTGCGTCGGCTCGAAGACCTTTCGGAATCCATCGTGAAAGATTTTGCCTTCATGAAGCAGCGTGAGGAGGAGATGCGAGACACCAATGGTGAGTGGCAGGCGGGCATCGAGGGTTAAGATGTTGCCCCTCTCTGGGGTGGGTGCAGGGGCCAAGAAAAACTATCAGGAAGGCTCTTCTCCATCTCTGTCTTTATTTTATATTTAAATTATAAGCTCCTTGGGGCAGAGACCTTCCTCTGTTGCTTAGGGGACTGTAAAGGTAGTGTAGCATGGTGGTGAAGGGAGTGGGCACCCGGAAACTCTCCATGCAAAATTATCTGTGCCTTGAGCTGATGGAGGTGACTTTGGGGCAAGTTGCTGTTCTTTCAGCACCCCTCACCTGCAACGTCAATAACAACTACAACACTGGGCTACATCAAAGTGCCGCTGTTTGGATGATTGAGATAACATCAGTGCAATGCTCCATTTAAATGTGAATTCTTATTAAAATGCCCTGTACGTTTATGACTCTATAAGAAGAATCCATACTCCAGAATACCCGAACTTGAAAGGGAAGCTGATAGTTCGTCTTGGGTGAGCTAGAGAACCTAACTTGTTCCTGAGCATTGGCACTTTCTTAGAAGCCTCCTAGGAGGGAGTCTCTACAACCTCTCTGGGCAAATCAACAGTTAGAATGTTCTTTCTAACTTTTCACCTAAAGAGTTTAATGTGATGGTTTTTCTCCAATGAAAGCAGTGAATGCCTGATTCCTATCTAAAAAAAAAATCTATCCACTTTTATTTTATTTGCTGTTGGCTAAACATGCCCGATCCTTCAGCCACAAACAGAGGCCTCTTATGCACGCACAGCTTACGGCAGAGAATCCAAACAATCAAGCCTGCCCTGTGCACCATTCTTTTTTCTTTGGTGTATTTATTCTGTAGCTACAAACAAAAAACGCAGTTTGTCTTAATTGTCTGCACTGCCTTCTCCAGTTTGGTGTAGTGGTTAAGTGTGGACACTAATCTGGGAGAACCGGGTTTAATTCCCCACTCTTCCACTTGCAGCTGCTGGATGACCTTGGGCAAGCCATAATTCTGGCACAGCTGTTCTTGAAAAAGAGAAGTTTCTGTCAGAGCTCTCTCAGCCCCACCTACCTCACAGGGTGTCTGTTGTGGGGAGGGGAAGGGGAAGGAGATTGTAAACCACTCTGAGACTCCAAGTGAAGGGCAGGGTATAAGTCCAACCTCTTCTTCTCTTCTTCTTCTTCCTGTCTCTGGGTTTAAACCAGGTGGCAGGAGAGGGCACCCCAGCCAGGATCACTGTGCCTGCAGGGACCCGACAGACATGCACGGTGAAAGCGAGGCAAAACACCTGTGCCTAACAGGCCAGGGTCTGCCCAAGGTGTATTTTTGCTGCTGCATGTCAGGATTTCTTGCACTGTCTCAAAAAATGTTGGGTGGTAGGGGAGCTAACAATTTGAACCCCAGGTTCGAATCCTCACTCTGCCATGGAAGCTCGCTGGGTGACCTTGGGCCAGTCACATGCTGTCAGCCTAAACTACCTCACAGGGCTGTTGTGAAGATAAAAAGGAGGTGAAGAGGACCACGTACGCTGCTTTGGGTCCCCGTTGGGGAGAAAGACAGGGCATAAATAAAGGAAATAAATTCTCAGATCACATTACAAACACATTCTTGCACCAAAGCCTTGGTTACAGTGAAGCCCTGTTAAATTTTTTCCCCCTTGGTTGAGCTGAATTCAGCTCTCCAGTTTCTTGGGTCATTTCCAAATGGGAGATGAGGCGGGCTGTGCTAAATATATCCATTCGGTCGGCACCCTGTATCTCGTGTGAGGAATGCTGGATACGTACATGGAGTTACTGAGTGACTTCTTAAAAATCAGCTGTTGAGCATCACGGTAGGGGGAGAGAGTTTTCCGGAGTGGCCAGTTAGGTGCTTCCAAGAATCCCATAAGTTTCTTTCCCTTCCTCTTTTCTAAGGTTCTAGTTAAGTCCTGCGGCGAACAGATCTATCCTCCTTCACTTTGCCTCTTGGATCCAAGTCTAACGCTGCCCCGCACTGACACATAATTCCAGTGCCAAGGATGCAGCTCTGGAACATGTGAAGTAATAATAGGGCACCTCTGAGCATGAGCAAAGAGCATCTCTTTACCATTGACTATCCCCCCCCCCCCCCCCCCCCTCTCGCTGTGAAAAGTTTCAAGAGCTGCGACTTCTAAGCCCTGACGCTTTGTTGCTGTTCAACGTTTTCTCTTTGCAGAATCCACCAGCGCTCGTGTCTTCTGCTTCAGCATCTTCTCCATGTTATGTCTTGTGGGTCTGGCCACCTGGCAGGTCTTCTATCTCCGGCGTTTCTTCAAAGCCAAGAAACTCATCGAGTGAATGAGCTCCAGCCTGGAGTGGGGGGCAAAGAGCAGATGCCCCCACTCTCCCCCACCCCGTTTCTTGCCGGCCTGTGAACCAGAACACATCAGAGTTCTTCCACCCACCAATTCTGATCAGCTCCTGAGCCGACTGGATTTTTTCCTCCAGGGTTTTCCCCAGCTAGGACTATTGATGGGACATCGGGGGCCTGGACTGGATCTCTGCCAGCTGGGGAGGGGAGTCTGTCATCAGAAAGGCATAGATTCTGGATGCCAGACCGGAAAACAGTTTGCCCCCCTTTTTTCTGGTGTGGACTGTGCCATTCTTTTTTCCCATGGGGGGTGAGGGATCTCTAATTAGAATGTAATTTAAGTCCTGATTGCTGAATGCACTAAGGAAATTTTGGAAACAATAAATTTTGGTTCATAGATTTCACCGCTGTTTGGGGGCAGGGGGCAATGCAGGATGCTCTTGGGACAGGACCAGAGTACTCTACGGCTGCAACCCTAACCACACTTACTAGAGAGTAAGTTCCACTGAACTCAGAGGGAGTTGCTTCTGAGCAAACATACTGAGGATCCTAGGACAGGTGGGGCCAGTGTAGTGTAGGGGTTAGGATGTTCAGCTAGGCCCAAGTTCAGATCCCCAACTGCCGTAGAAGCTTGCTGAATGACTGTGGGCTACTCACTCTCTGTTTAACCTACCTCACAGGGCTGTTGTGAGGATGAGTGGGGCGAGAATGGTGTATGGTGCCCTGACCTCTGTGTTTAGGGTTGCTGGCATGCCTGGAGAAAAATATCCTGTCCCTTTATTGTAGAGGCTTGCTGTGTGAAAATGGACACTTGAAGCTTTTCTTGGCGTGGAGGTAAATCACATCCCATTAAAGTTCTGCTAGAGGGATGGGATATTTTTACCCAGACCTGTTGGCAACCCTTGTGAATTTAATGAGGCTCCCCTTACTTCAGCCTTTGGGGTGCTATGCAGTGTTAATCTGGAAGGTAAGGAATGGAAGTGTTCAAATCTGTTAGGGTTGCCATCAATGCTCCCTCTAAGCTGTGGAATCTTGTGATCAAAAATTCTACTTTGTGAGCTACTGGCATTACAGTTGTGAGCAAGTGATTTGGCTACTGCAGAGAGTAGTTTGCTCTAGAGCCATCCTTCCTGAGCTAAGACAAAATGTGTGAGATGGAGGCTTAAAAAGTGAGCTAGCTCACACTAACTCAACTTAGAGGGAGCACTGGTTGCCAGCATTTTTTGGTGTTTCTCCTGCTGTGCTTTTAAACAGTCTTCTTTTAAAAACACACACACACACACTGAAATTTTGTTGAAAAAGTCCTGCTTTTACAGGAAAGAAAAATGCAAATACATAAAACAGTCTTCTGCCATGCAGGAAGAGATCATAGGATGGGAATATGATGCTCTTGGGTAATTTCTCTGTGTCCAGTTGCCATGAACGACACAGCAGTAGAGGCATTTTTTTTAAAGGTTGGCAACTATTGCATCCTCTGTCTTTCCCTGCCAGTGGCAGCGTTCACTGTACTGATAAAATTTTCTTTAAAAAGAAGGGGTTAGGGTTCAGACTTCTTCGGAGTATCTCTTCCTGCCTTAAAAGAATCACTGAACTCTAACCCCAGGTAAAGACTGCTTGTGGATCTTCAGTGGTAGGGTTGCCAGCTCTGGGTTGGGAAATACCTGGAGATTTTGGGGGTGGAGCCTGAGGAGGGTGGGGTTTGGGGAGGGGAGCGACTTCAATGGGGTATAAAGCCTTAGAGCCCACCTTCCAAATTGGCTGTTTTCTCCAGGTGAATTGATTTCTGTTTCCTGGAGATCAGTTGTAATAGCAGGAGAGCTCCAGCCACCACCTGGAGGTTGGTAACCCCTCTCAGTAGTGAGAAAAATGCATCACCGTGGAGACACACTCCTCCTGTTCCTTCAAATATTTCAGGGCATATTACACCCTGCGATTGTCCAGTGTGAATGGCTCTGTGCGTGTGTGTGAGAGAGAATGAATGTAGGCCACATGAGGTCAGTGCAAGCCATTATCTCTTTAGATTACTTACGTATAAATGCACATGTGCATGCTTAATTGGTGCATGCTTAATTTCTAAACCAAGAAGGATTTGCTACAGCAGATGCCTGCCTTGCAGCTTTGCCCTGTAATCCTAGCTGGCTGGACTTTTTGAAGGACTTGGGGGCAGGGGAAAGAGAGAGAGAGATCGTAAAGATTTACTTGAGTGTTATAGGAAAATAACTCTTTACTCCTCATCTAATAATGAGATTTGGGATCTACAAGTTCAGTACCGATGGACAGAAGAACTTCTTCACACAATGGACTTTTAAAACTTGCTGCTGCAAGATGGGGAGGTGGCCACTAGCGGGGATGACACATGTGTGTGTGTGTGTATAAAGTGCCATCAAGTCACAGCTGACTTATGGGGACCCCGTGAGGCATTCAAGGCCAGTGCTGAAGCAGAGGTGGTTTTGCCATTGCCTGCCACTGCAGAGCCTTCCTTGGTGGTCTTCCATCCAAGTACTGGCCCTGCTTAGCTTCTGAGATCTGATGAGATCGGGCTGTATTATACCATTCCACATACCTCCTGGGATGACTTTATTAAAAAAACGAATAGTCTACTTCAAAGCATCTGTCAGCCGTGATAGTTAAACAGAACTTCCATATTCAAAGGCAGTGTACTCAGCCCCGTCGCCAGAAATTTTGGGTTGGTGGGCCATGGAGAAATTTTGTGGGGCAGCAGGGGAGGTGGAAGATGGAGGGGGCAGGAGAGGGGCAACTGCACGCCTTCGCTGAACTCGCAAGTGGCAATTTTGCTGCTTGGAGATCAGGCGTGGGCAGCCCCCACTTAAAAAAAAAAAACATTTAAAGGGAACCTTTTAAAGGCCGCTTGGAGTTCAGGGAAGGAAGGCATGTTGCCTGCAGCTGCCCCCTCCCTTACCTCTTGCAACATTTAAAGGGCCTGCTGATCAGCTGGAGGGCCCTTTAAATCTTGGAGGGAGGGGGCGGCTGCAGGATTTAAAGGGCCCTCCAGCTGATCAGCAGGCCACGTGCTCCCGTCGATCAGCTGGAGAGCCTTTTTAATGTCACTGGAGAGGGGGGAGGGGCAGCAGCTGTTGCCTCACATTTGATGGGGCGGAGCTCCAAAATTGCCCACTGTAGCTACAGGCATGAGTGTACCTTTAAGTACTGAAAGCTTGGGAGACACAGTATAAAAGAGCTGTTGCCTTCATGCACTGATTTCTGAGAGGCATATGACCATCCATTGTTAGGAAGAGAATGATGGTATAGGTGGACTTTTGGTCTGACCCAGCAACATGACTAGTTCAGGATCCAGCCCAAGTTAAGCACTTTTGAGTCCCGTTGATTTAACAGAGTTTTAAGCATGTGCATGAAACATACTCAAAAAAAGCATTCAGTAGAGTTCTCATAATATTCAGTAGAGATTATTCTCAGGTTGTGTATGCATCGGACTGCAGTCTTAAAAGTCTTTGGCCGGGTTGTAAGAAAGCACTCTGCATATGCTCAGAAGCCCTAATTAATTGTATGATCCAGGGCTGAGGAATGTTTGCCTGACTAATCATCCTTCAATGCTAAGAACAAAATCCATCTCTTTCTCCTCCCTCCCCCCGTCATAAGCAATTTCCCCTTGTTTATAAAAAAACCCAAACTGCTGGCATATCTGGAACAGAAGAAGGACAAACTTCGCAGTTGTATTAAAATAGTTGGTGTGTTTTTATTGTAAATCTGGATGTGTTTCTTCATAGTGATAACATTTTTTTAAAAAGTGTCCTTTGACAACCTGTCCTTTTGCCATGCTGGGGGTGGGGAGGAATGATAGGGACTGACATTTTGGGGAGGCCTACACTGGAAATTTAAACCAGTCACCTATATCTGAGACCATCACAAGTGACCTTTTATCTGATGTGCACCAAGAGTATAGAACAGGGTTGCCAACTGACAAGGAAAAAAACAGCCTCGCCTGCTCCTGTGCCTTTAACAACAGCTTGATTGACAGAAACCAGGTGGTGAAGCTTTCAAGGGTAGGGAGCTAAGCATGATTTCTTGCTGTTGGCTGTAGACAGAGGCAGGAGCAGTGATTTATTTATTTATTTAAAACTTGCACCGGTATTACGGAATTATTCCTACTCAAAAGTTATATTTTAAAAGCAAAATCTTGAGGACTGAAGTTCAGCGGCAGGGCTAAAGATCTCAACTAAAAGCTATCCCATCCCTTTGTGAGGCGGCGGTTCCTAAGGTTCTTTGGACAGCTAAATTAGTTTCAACCTGATTTGAGTGCCCAGTGCAGATGGGCCTTTATTCAAAGTACTCTTGCAGTGGAGGACTCCTGCACTCCATTTTGTGTTCCTGTGTGTGTGTGTGTGTTGGGGGGGGGGGTGTGTGCTAAACACTGACTCTTCCCTGGGGTTTTATTTGCCTCACGGGGGGGCATCGCTTACAGGAGAAAATCTCTGATGGTTGCAGATCCCTGTCCATCCTCTGTGAGTGGCTTCTTCTGCGTGAAGTGGAGTGGGCCTCAGGGTTGGCAGTGGCAGTCGCGAACCAAGCGTAGCGCCCGTACAACTAATGCACCGTTTTCTTGGAGAAATACAAAGGAGAGCGGAGTCCGGCGTGGCCGACAGCAGCGTGCCTGGAGAAAAGCAAGCAGTTGTGATCAAGAAGGGTGTAGAAGATGTACAATTTCTGCACTATGTTCTCAAGCCAACAGTCACAGTTGTGTGTAGAGCTACTTCAGATCACGTTTGTTGTTCAGAAGCAAACTATGGCCCCGGGCACACGGGCCGGATATCGCGGGGGGGGGGGGAGGCGTGGCTAATTGCCCCGGTGCAGTTTGATCTGCGATTACGCGATCAGACGCACCGGCGGCACAGCAGGGGTCCTTCCCTTGGCGCCAGCGGGGAATGCCGCGCGCCGGCGCGATCACACCACGGGCGTCTGGAGGCAGCCCATGGCAAACGTTTACTAGTACCTTGGAGGTATTAGTTTTTAAATGTGCATTGTCGGCGGTAAGCCACGGGTGCACTCCACTTCCCAGATGTTGGGGTGTGATTGTGCCCGGATAATCCGCCCACCTTCCATGCCTCTCCCGCAGCAACGTTGCTGTGTGACCGGGGCCCATGAGTATTTTAATAGAACAGAACACCTAAAACTTGGGATAGGCGCCTGTGTCCCCCAGTACCCCCACAACATCTACCCATCTAGCTTGGGGGCTTACACACACCCCTGGCCGGCAGCTGTATATGTCCGTGTGTGTGTTTGTGTGAAGATGACTGGCATAAACCATGCCCAGCACCTTGTCCTATGCTGTGGCTCAGTGAAAAAACCTCTGCTTTGCATGCAGAAGATTCCAGGTTCAATCCTTGGCATCTCCAGCTAAAAAGGACCAGGCAGTAGGTGATGTGGAAGACCTCAGCCTGAGGCCCTGGATAGTTGCTGCCAGTCTGAGTAGACAATACTGGCCTTGATGGACTGAGGGTCTGATTCCATATAAGGCAACGTCATGTGTTTCATCCCTAGCACTGCTGCTAGTAGCTCAGGGACTGCCTGGGTTGCTTGGGCAAAGAAGTGGCCCTGCATCTACGGCTGTTAACTCTTGCTTGGGAAATACGTGGAGCCAGGGGAG